CACAGTTTCCCTCTGCACCCCTGACTACAATACTAACTAGCTGTGCTCGTCTGTCAAAACAAAACAAAAAAATCATCCTTATTCCCAGCATGGGCTAACATATCACACAGGGATGTAAAGAATACAAAAACAGGATAGTTACTGGATTTTTGGCTCTGAACCACTTGCGAATCAGTTATTTCACCAAGAAATGATTAAAAGTTTGTTTTTGTGCCTCCTACCACTCATTCCTCAACATGGATAAACTGTCAGATCCTGTTAGGAAGAACTTCTCAATCGGTCCAAATGAATCAGTCAGTCAGCCCAAATGAGACGTGTTTATGTGTGAATCCTCATCCGGCCTGTGCTAGCCTGCATGTTTTCATGCATATACTTGTCCATGTGTGTTTATCTGTCTGACAACAAGTGTGTTTGTTGTGTACTTCCAGATGTTTATTTATGAAGTCTTGATGTAGGCCTGACTCACATCGTTGCGCGTCGCATTGGCTTGCACGGGGTCCTCAGCTGCCAGGGCGATGCTGCTCATGGTAATGACCGTCAGGATGCACATTTCAAAGTAGCGTAGGTTGACCACATAGTGACACAGCCGTCGCACCCTGCAAGACCAACATATAAACACACGCACGCACAAACTCGAGCAAATGTACTACACACTTAGCAGTGACAGCTCACAAGGTGCTTTCAGGTGACATCCTTCCATAACAGGCTGTGGACAAACGCATATCCAAAACAATACATGAAGGTAGGGAATGAATCTGCTGCTGAACTATGCCGTTTCACAGAGCTATAGAGCATCTGCGTATTTATAGCATTACTATTTATATATTTTTTAAATTTATAGCATTAGCATTACTATAGCATCTGCATTTTATGTTATGCTTCTGACTATGATTCAATTCTTGTGTTAAATCTTAAAAGCTTAAGGCTGAAATTTTAACTAGCCATGCTTTAGCTCACTTGTCTATAAGATCTTGAGACCACTTGAGTGTCCAATGGCCTCGAATTTGAGGTGGCACCTTCCAGTTACTCAGCTAGAATTTACCCCAGGATGCACAAGAAATAATGTTCTAATTGGGCGAAGAGAAAAGGATCCAAAAAGCAGCAAATGTCCAAAGAAGAGCCTTGGAAGACCTTTGGAAAGCCTGGAAAATATTGCCCGTGACCACTTTAAAAGAAATTACAAGAAACTGCTTGGAAGCAAAATTAAAACAAATGAGGGATGGTTCAAGAACCTTTGCACAGTACTGTATATTTGCAGTTGCTGCTTTCCTCCCCAAAACAGGTCCTCACAGAGAAAATGACTCCAAATTGAAGCTACACCCAGAGCTCCACTTCTGGGAGTGACTGTTGCCTTTGTGTGTAGGTGAGGCATGAAATACCCCAAAGAGAAAGGATTTATTTAAGCATGACAAGTGAGAATAACGGTGATTTGTTATTAACCACTAAAGAGTCAGACATAAGCAAACCACTGACTGTTTCAGTGCTTTAAAGAGGAACCTGAATGAAATCAATTAAAGCTTTTAATTCTCAATATGCTGTTTATGCTAACCCCACGCCAGTCTGCTGAGTCACCTCGCAACTTACGGGTTTGTTTGGCCGAAGATGAACATTGAGCTGTAGGGAAGGATCTGCCGAGGCCCATTAGCTGCCTCGTCCTCTTCCAGATCTTTCTTCTCCTCACTGAGCTGCAGGTTGTCACAGTCGATGTTGTTCACTGATGCGCAAAAACAAATACGCTCATTTAGCTCAAAGAAGCACAGACCGTAACAAGTGAGATATTTTCTATGGATGTTAAATGCAGGCTTTTAGTTTCTTTAGGCATTTTATAGCTGCGCTTCACAGAAATATACAACACGTCATTTCACTAATTAGACATTTCTCATAAGATCGTGGTTGCAGGGTCAAGATTAAGTGTGACAGCCATGTTATGAAAAACTGTTTTTCGCACATGGAAGAATATTAACTTAGCTCACAAACAAGTACACATACTTTTACAGACACCTTGAAGAGATGCAGTATTTCTGAATAAAAAAGTTAAATTTTCTTTTTTCCTCCTTCAGATTAAAAAGGTAAAAAAAAAAAAGTCATCCAAACACAAGTGTTATGGCATGATTTTTTCACAGCGTGTGGGCTTCATCGTCAGCTGAAATAAAACTGTGCTTTTTGACAGCTCATTTTGTATTTTAGGATATTTGGCTGCTTTTATATGTGTGATAAAAGTCTACTCACTCATTTGATTCTTTGCTAATCACGAGATGTGGTGACTTTTGATTGAACTTTGTAACACAGTGATAACTAATATAACACAAATATGTTTAACCTCCCTATCCTTCCCCACCTCCCGTCTCAGTAACACACTATGCTCACTGGGTATGATGGTGGTTTCTCCAGGCGGGGCAGTGATGGTGACAGGAATGTGGATAGCATTGCTGTTGAGGCCAGCCTGGCTGGCCCTAGTGGAGTTCTTCTGGTTGTCAACATCCTCTGTAGGCTGCTGAGGACTGCAGGTAAAGCTCTCCTCCTCAGCATCTGGCTCCATCTCCCTGGAGAAAAAAAAGATGGGTTTAGTGTAAAAAAACAAAACAAAAAAACCCCCAAACTTTGTTTCCTTTCCCTTTTGTACAAAGAAGCACAAGGTAGCTCTAAAAACACAAATTTCATATAGTATCAGTGTATGAAATAAGTTCAGGTGTTCATGAGCAGCTCTCATAAGGCCCCACCACAGCATTGTAATCAGGTTGAGGTCTGACTGGACTATTGCAACAACTTGATTCTTTTATTTTTCAGCCGCTCTGTTGTATGTCTGACTTCTTGTCTGTACAGGTCCTGTGGCTGTAAAACAAGCCCAAATCATCACCCCTCCACCATTGTGCCTTATAGCTGTTTGTGCTGATATGTGGTGTTGTGCATTGTGGACAAAGACCTCCACTTTGGTGTCATCTGACATTGTTCCAGCTTTCTTGTGGTTTATTGAGATGCAGCTTTTCAAATTTAAGCCTTGTTGCCATGTTCTCTTTAGAGAGAAGAAGCTTTCTCCTGGGAACCCCAAACAATCAAAACAATCTGAGTTTAAGATATACCTCGTTTTGGGGGGGTTTTCTGCCAGGACTGCATACAGTTTTGTAAAAACTTATTATTCATATGACTGCAAGAGTCTCAAGCACAGACTGTTTTCAGAGCCACTAATCCGAAGTATCAGTCTTTGTGTTGTTGATTACAGTCCAAACACGGCCAAGAAAGGTGAATACATGGAGAAAAAAATAACATGTTATTGAACAGCGTGAATAAAAGGACAAGTACAGGTGACTCACAGGTCCTCAACTGACAGTTTTAGTAAATACAGACCATAAAAGCCACACTATGGTTTTTTTGTGTGAAAAAGGTAATAGGTCTTCTTGAATAAATCTTCATGTTTTTGTCATTTCTTCAATGGAATAAACTTTACTAATTTCCTAGAACAAAAATACGATGATAGGGTGCATAACCCAAACTAAAACCATTTGACCCAGGTTGCAGATGTGCTGACAAGATCAATTCGCCCATGGAGTGATGATGGCTACAAATGGGCCTCAAAGTTGGATCTACAACAAGACAGTCAAAGTGTGTCTGTGTGGGCTCTCAGTCATCCACGAGAGAAAGCAGCTGGACTCCTTTCATTTTCTTAAAGAGGTTTCACCTCTCATCCGAGAAGCTTCTTTGGTCTTCTAGAACCAAATGGTGGAGAGTCCCAGGTATTTAATCCCTAGTGGGAGTTGTCCCACACACAGGGAAAAGGTTGCTTTCTTTCCACGCTCCTTAGACGAAATTCAGAGTGGATTAATGTTTTTTTAAGTTATGACAAGTTATGACTGAAGCTACACCTGACAGCAGAATTGTGTCTTCATATTTTTTGCGGAACTTATTTAGAAACCAATTTTGGTGGAGTTAATTATTTGACTTGATTCGAGGTCAAGCATCAAATGAGAATCACAAGTAAAGGCCATTAATGGCACGTGGAGTGCTGGTAATGTCCACTCAGATAGGTTGTTGTCTAAAACTGGCTTTACAAAAAAAGAAACAGTGTTGTCATGGATGTGGAATGAAGAAATGGGAAGCAGAGTGAAAATCTAATCTTACTGAGCTGCAGTTTGTAGTTGGGAGCAGTAATATATTAAATGTGCTGATGAAACCAACAATAATAAAAACTTCTGTTCAAAATACATTGCATCAGAAAATTACAATAAAAAAGCAAAAGCACTTTGGTGTTTGTTGTCTGTGTCTGTTGTTACAGACGCAATCAGAACTTCCACCTACAAAAACTCACTTTTTTGCAACACTGACACAGAGTTGTGTCATCTTTTTAACTTGACATGGAAAGCAGTTATTAATTTACACATTTAGCAATAACAAAGCAAAATTTGCACTAAGGTTTGTGAGCAAAGCAATGGAAAGAAGATGAGTGAATGGGATGAAGAAGTATTATAAAAAAATGTATTATAAAATTTCATATTTTCTTACATATTACTGTTTACACTTAAGATGTCAAATAATCATCAAACGTCAGAACTAACTAACAGCCAGTGAATGAGAATCATTAGTCAATCAATAATTTATGACATATTCTGAGGTAAATACACCTAATTAAGTTATTTGGACACATTACGACTTAAATAAAGTGTATTAGTATAGTGTGTTGGTTAAGTTGAAAGATTAGGTCATTATTTTTGAAAATGAAGCATTTTATATGAACAACAAAATCTGCAGCTTTACCTGTAACCTCTGTTTCCGTTCTTGTTCCTCTTAGAGTCATCTCCACCCAGAGCTGTCTGAGCTCTGCCTGTACGAGAGCATCGGTCCTTCCTCTCTCCATTACTATCTCCTCCACCTCCCCCTCTACCCCTTTGCTCTGACTGTGCACCATTTGCCAACATCCCATTCCCCTCTTTAGGTGGACGATGTGAGTGATGGTGGTGATGCCCCTTATTATCTCCTCCTCCTCCTCGTCCTCCTCCCTGCAGGTCATTATTTTCCTCCTCAGGGGAGCCGGTCTGGTGGTGGTGGTGCCTGTGCCCCTGCCCTCCATTGCGGTTGTGACTCATCTCCCCTCTCCTCTCTTTTGTCTGTGGACCATCAGCATTGTGATCTCTGCTCCTGCTGTGATGGGTGTGGTGCCTCCCTCCCCGGACATCTCCTTCATCTCTGCTCTCCCCGCTACTGTCGTGGTGGCGGTGATGCTTCCTGGAGTGTGTGTGAAAGTTGTCATCCTGCCGGAGATGCCCTGCCTCCTCCCACCCTCCCTCGGGGGCCCTGCTGGATTTGTCTCCATTCTTGGACTCCACCCTAAGGGGCCTGTCCAGGTGAGTCTTCATGTCGGGGTGCAGATGAAGGGCGCTGGACATCAATAGGCGGTCATCGGGGTCGAGCTCGTTGTACAGGGCCTCGCTGCTCGTTTTTATGTTATGTCTCCTAAGCTGGTTAGTCCTCTGCTCCCACACTGACATAGCCTTCGCTGAACGCTGCTGCTCTTTGCTGCAAACATCGAATAAAACCCACAGGAAAAGATCATGGAACAGCAATAAGTAATGACATACAACACGTTTAGCTCTACTTTATGAGGTGAACATTACAATCCACACTTTCACCCATAGTCACACTGTCATCTGCAAATTCTAACATTTATCTTTAAAATGACGCTGGATAAGTGAGTTAGAAACAAGCCTATGGATGCGTCAGCACAGGTGTGTGCAATGGTGAAACCTTTACTTACCATGCATGAATATGTATCTCAAAACCAACATAGAAAAATTTGACAATTTTTCTTACAGTTTTCTTTCTTACAATCTTCGTACACAATGTCTTCACACAGCATACACTCTTGCAATGTGCACTCGAAAAAATATCTACTTATCGGCAAAATGTTGGCTTTAAGTCATTCGATGACACGTACATTTTTCATGTCATTTTGTTAAAGAATGTAAACAGTTATATTTAAAGGAGTTTTGTTAAATGAAATTTACCTGATATGTTTGTACCAGGTACAATTTCTTTAATGACTAATGAGTTAAATGAATAAACTTTTACTCGCATTTTACTCAGAAAATAATTCTATGTCCTCATAAACATGAAGCATTATTTTTGTGTCTAAATAGGAGATCCTTATTCTTAATTTGGATATTTTGACATTTAATTCTCTTACCACTAAGTATGTCTTATATTACACTGTTAAGCTTTTAAATGTTGTGAAATTACATTATAAATCTCTGACTAATGCAGGGTTTTAAGTTTCTTTAGTCACAGACTAAAATGTTCTTCTCCAATCTAACTCACTTCTTCTTGGTATGGCTGTATAAATCTCACATGTTGTTATTAAGGCGTCATTCTCTTTTAGACTACAAGCAGGCTTTTTGTGGTATATAAGAGATTTGCACATTTTATAAAAGTATTTTATATGCTCAAAGAAAGTTTTTCCACTCAGGTGAGTGTTTGCTAAAAAACAAAGGTTTATAATAATAAATGGACACATGTACAACTATTTCAAACTTAATACAGGTACCCAGTTTACACCCGAGGTCAGATTTGAAAGTAAGAACCAATAAGATGAGATTTTTTTTCCACTAATTTCATAAATTGAGCATTTACTTACAGATATTTATCTTACTAAAATACACAAATTCTAGTCTCTCCGTCCATGAACTCTTCCTACACGATCAGAAGCTGAGCTACAAACCCTACCACAGCTACATCTTAGACCCCTAAATGATCTATGTTGCATATTGTAAGGTCATCATGTTGTCTAGCAACCACATAACACATAAATCACAGGTTTAGAAACCTGTATTATAATATGGGCATGTACTATTGTTATTGCATTACAAACTAGCCAACTCACTATCATTGCTGTGCACAGACCGAGCATGCTTAGTCCTTTAAACAACAACATGCACAGTAATCTATCCCCCTGACAACTGTAGCTGCCTCCACCAGTGTGTGAATGAATAGTGGAATTGTAAAGCGCTTTGAGGGCCCCGAAAAGCGCTATATAAATGCAATCCTTTATTATTAAAGACGTCAGTAAACTTTATTAAAACAGTAACATTGGTCATTTTAACGTTTTCATGAGGTGTGCATACGTTTCCATGTATATTAGTAGTTCCAGTGAATCCTCCCTTACAAATAAAATAAATAAATAAATAAATATTGATACTTGCTATTTATCACAACGTCATTTGATTGAAAGTCTGGAATTTTAGATTATTGAAACCTTACAGATTGACGTACTTGTCCACACAGCGTATTAATTCTAGTATTATCAGATGTCTATATTCCAAATAAAAAGCACATATTCATGTATATTAATACATATATACATGCTAATTTATTCCTGTCTCATTGTGTGTTGCATGGTGAATTTATTTTATTTGTACAGGACATTGGGAGTCTGGCACTATAACAGTGTAATCTGTAGGGATACTTTTTTAACTCTTCCCACATGCAAGATAAGTTTGTTTTGTCAATTATTAGAAAGATACTACAGCTACTACTAAAACTTTTATTTTAGAAGTATTTTTCAACCATCATGTGAAACTTAGAACAGCTGTTGTAGCAGACAACATCAAAACGTTTACTGGGACTTCTTAATATGGCATGCCTCACTGACATTGCACAGGGTGACCCGAGTCATGTGCAAATGGTTCAGGCAGGAAAATCATGCGGTGGGTAATAGCAGAGTTTAGGGGAAGATGATCTGGGATAATAATTATGGGGCGAAATGGGAGCTTTTTTTATTTCTCAAAATAAAAAAATCAAACATAGAGCATCCATTTAATGTAATAATATTCCTGGTTGTCATCAATGTAATGCATATTGCTCCTGTTCACAGTATGATTTGTGAGTTTTATGGGTTTTGTCATTTATTTCCATTTTATCACCTGTACCTCAAGACACATCGAGCGGGGGAGGAGTAGACAGTATAACTCCTAAGAGACAGACAGGGAGACAGAAGACAGGACAGGACAGGTATCCACCGACAGGTGAACTACTGAAATACATGTAGGCGATTGCAGAAATGAAAGCTAGAAATGCTAGAGTAACTGGTGAGATATTGTGACATAGCACATGCACACTCAAAAACACAAGAAGAGCAGTCCTTATAAGAAACCAGTGTTAACTCAAAGAGGTGCGATGGCCTTCCAGCAGCACCGTAATCAATTAAGAGAGCAGATCACCAGGAGGGAGAGCAAAAGCTGGTTGTTGTTGTGTTTTTCTTTTAGTGACAGCCTGGAGTCTACAATAACAAATAGAATGGAAATGCCAAACTGCCTGTGGTAGTAGCAAAGCAGAGAAATTAAACATTTATAGACAAATTATTCACATCACAGAGCTGAAGATCTATTACTGTAGGCACCGAAGGCTAGGCAGAGGCACAACAGTCTACAGTTTACAGTCAAAATTAAACCACAGTGGCACCGTGTGCCATCTGCTGTAGTGCAGTGTCAATGACTTAAAAAAGAAGAACCATAAATACATTTCACTTCACTAGCAACGAAGTTATGACAGAACACAATTTAGTTTTATGAAGGTGCAGAGGAAAGGAGAGGAAAGGAGAGGACTGGAGGAGAGAGGAGGGCACAGATTGTCCAAAAGTGGGAGGATACAAGAACATGAAGAGATGTAAAGAGGGGAAAAAAAACAATGCATTGCAGAGAAGAAAGGAGACAGAAGGGATGAAAGACTAGAAGAGAAGGCAAAGAGGAAAGGAAACAGGAGAGGAGAGGAGACCAGGAGGAGAATATTGTAACAGAGAGTGATAACTCACGGTGACTGAATGCTGCTGATGGACGACCTGCGAGAGAGTGCATCTCGATTTTGCTTTACAAAACTGTACATGCAGAACAAAAACAAAGGAAAAAAAAATGAGACACAAATCCGAAGGGGGCAGGTGGACAAAAAGAGTGACATTCCACCTGCCCCCTGCCTTCTGTGTTACAGCAAAGGACTAATCTGTGCAAATACTTCAATAACACAACAGCAACGGAAAAACGTGTGACATCTTTATGACGAAAACTGAAACTGAAAACCATTCAGGAGTTTCAATCCAAAACATATGAAGAGGAAAAATGTAATCTTATATTTTACAATGAAATGTTGAATTTGAAACATATTTAGATATTTAAAATTATTTCAAATGAAGATTCTTAGATTTTGTCTTCAGTTTTGTAATGAAACCCTGAGTTTCTCTGAAACAGCACATTCAACACAGATAGTAAAAATAAAGAGTTTCTTATGAGCCCACTGACTTTTTGTGTGAGCACACTGTTCAATGCACAAACTAAACATGTCTGACAAGGCTGAAACTAATGCACAGGGCCACGTGATAACACTAAGAGCAGTGTAATGGGGAACAAGTCGGCTAGCCAGGGATTTACGGCAGTAATAATTTTCTAACTGACCTCATAGTGAGGACGACGGCAATTAAGGAGCAAGTTTTACAAATGAATAAAAAAAATGTCATCACAAAAAGACCTATGCAGAATTTTTTAACACACAAGTGGAAACAATGACGTACGAACACAATGCAGAGACAATGCATTGTTGCTGTTTTAGTGAATAAGATAGGAAAATACAGTGAGACGTGATAATTTATAGCTACGAATAATTGATCCGTTTGGGTTCTTTTGGTTTTCTTGTGCCACTTTGAGTTTCTCCATTTTTTATCAGTGTTGCCCTGTCTCTGTCATCATGCTTAATGTTAGTGTTCATGTCTCACTGTTTATGATTTGCATTAAGCTTACTCGCTCTTTATGAGTATCTCATGTGAATTGCTTTGGTTTTAAGTTGGGACCACATAAAAAAAAAATGCAATGAACCCATAATTTGTTCACAGCAACACAGAAAAAAACTGAAGTTTTAAACTTAAAAATGTAGCATTTAAAGACTGTGCGCACTGTGTATTACATTCAAACATCTCCACTTTCCTCTATCCAAAGGAGCATGTACCAGACATCCTGCTGTTTGTTCAGATGCAGCTTTGCAAACCAGAATCATGCTGCTGTGTTTTTTGTTTTTTATAGAAAAGAGCCTTTCTTTTGGCAACCCTTCCAAACAAGTCGCACGTTTTCAGTCTTTTTCCAAGTTTACTGTCATTAACTTTAACATTTAATGCTAAGTGAGGCTTATAGAGTCTAAGATGTAGCTCTTGGACTTCTTTATGTTTCTCTGAGCATTGCATGGTCTGGCCATGGGTTGAATTTGCTAGGAAGACCAATTGTGTAATTTTTGTGACATTGTTTTAACACAAACCAGCAACCTGCTAAACTTTCAAGTCATTTGCATTTGAATTTTATTAGCAGTGCCCAACTTTATTTATACTTCTTACACTCTTAATTCCTAACAGTGTACTTAGTTTTCCAAAGACTGCAGAATCCTCAGAAAACTTTGAGTATCACATCAAGTATCTGCGCTGATTTTTATGATTTTTTTGCTAATCATTACTCACTAACTTTAGTAGACAGAGAGAAATAACTGGGACACGATATCTAAAATACTACTGAGATTATCATCTAAAGATGCAGAATGGAGAGCTGCATCATTTGTAAATCAAACAACAGCTTTGATTATAAAATGCCATTTTAGCAGCAGGTAGCAACATTCAAGGGCAAAATAAAAAAATGATATCATGAAATTTGCTAGTGGAAACTCACATGTATTACTCACTGAAGCTTCCTTAATTGCCTATAATATTAAAGAGGGTAAAGAGTAGGGTGTAATAAATAAGAAACACCACAGGGGCACTGATTTAATGGGAGTGGATGAGAAGTTCAGAACACAGACAAATCAAACAGGGTACAAATATACACACAGACATGTCAGACTGAGAGGGAAGAACCTACGGAGAGATATCATACAGTTTTATTTCCGTGTGGGACTGAACAGCGCTGCTGTCTGGGGAAAGAGAAACTTACGCAGCGATCGAAATGTTGGCTGCTGACATCGGGCTGACTTCTTTCACTTCCAAAGCTTTCTGTAGAGCAAGCTTCTTATTGGCTGCCTCCTCCTGCTCCTCTTCATCCTTCAGCCAGTGACAACCAAGACATTAATTTGTGCTTAAGAGGAATATATTACTATTGCAACAGATCTCCATAGTTTTCTGGGCAAAATCAGATTAGGCAGTCATGACCTTTGTTTAGGGGGAAAAAAGTCAATCAGAATTTAATTGTGTCATCTGATATTGTCGAAATTTTACCCAAGACTGATATCTGTTTTCAGCCATATATAACCCTAATATAGCCATGAAAATAGGATCACATCAAACCCAGGAAAAGCTTGCTGAAAAAGCTCACTCTGCCAGGTGTCTCAGCAACACTGAAATTTGTTCAAGGAGTAAAGGATGAATCTGTCTTTACTGTGTTTCAAAAATCAACATCTGGTAAGTGTTTTTTTGTTTTGGGTTGTTTTTTTTTGCTGGATTGGTTTTCCCGCCTACCTTCGTCAGCTCTTGTGCATTTGCAAGGTTATCGACGGCAATAGCCAAGAAGACATTCAGGAGGGTGTCTGAATAACAACGGCACTCAGGAGCAACAACAGTTGGACAGATTAAGTATTCATTGGCTTTTCCCACCAAACTAGTAGCAATCTGAAAAATTGATGCTGAATAGATCTGTCAGTTTACCTGACAGAGCAGGGCCTAATTTTTCACCTCAAGTTCACAAGAGTACATGACGGCTGACAGAGTAAGAACTCACTGCTAGCTGGCAAAAAATTCTCATCTTTCATCACTTTTGTTTTTTAGAGAAATCACTCCCATTTCAGCCTATATTTACGAGCTTGAAAGACTTAACTTGTAACATGAGTTGGCTGTAGCATGATCCAAAGTAAAACATCCCTGCAATAACATTTCATTTACATGTATCAATGAAATGTTTACTGTTGATAAGGTCAGCATTTACATTGCAATTAAATTTTTTCTGTAATTGATGGGCACTGCTTCTGACTTTGTGTATGTTGTGATGTCAAAAAGGATACAGTTTCCAAAGAGTGTGAGGACGATGAAGTAGATGGAGGAGAACATGCCGCCGCGAACGCCTCCTTGAGACTCGATCCCGTGGTACATCACTGCGTTCCAGTCCTCGCCAGTCAGAATCTGAGGGAAACGAGAGTCAGAGCGAGGCTGGGTTGTAAAGGAGCATGCAAATCTCACAGAGCACAGAATTAAATTACTTTACAGAGTGAGGGCTTATGAGTACAGGTTAATTGAAGGATTATCAGTGAGCTCATTAGGGCACACGGAGGTATGCAGACCCCTCATTTGCTCTAATTAAAATGACTGATAACAAACTTTATTTTTCCATAGTGTCAATATGCTCTTGTTCTCATTTGGAAAGCATGATTGCACACATATGTGTAATGTTTTGTTTTCTTGTTTTACCTGGAACACCGTGAGGATGGCTGCTGGGAAGGTATCAAAGTTTGTTGTTGGAGTTTCATCTTCAAAGTTAAACCTAAAAAGGATTCACAACAACATAATTACAAACTGAAAAAAAAAACCAACACCAAAACCATTAGAGCAAATGTTAAAAACGAGGTTCCAGTCAGGTCTTAATGGGCTCTACCTGCAGTTCAGGAAAGTCACTTGGATTAATGGGATAAAAAAAAGAAAGCTGTGAGGAACGATCCATGTTTCAGGACATGAGAAACATGAGAGCACAAAAAAGGACAGATTCACACTGCAGTCACAACTGGATCATTTTCTTCATTTTGTTTCCCATCTGCAACACCCCCACCACACACACATTTGTACTTCTATACCTGTGAGGACATTCAATGATCATTTCCTGATCCCAACAATTATAAAGGATAAATGCAATTTATAATAACATGGATATTGCTTTTGTTGTTTCATTTATCCATAAGACCTTGCTATTGAAACTGTCAACAAACTGACAGCAGATCATGAGACAGACTGGATTTAATATTCCTTATGCCATCTCTGAACTGGGGAGAGTTCAAAGCCTTGCAACATTTATATATTTATATATTTGTGGCTTTTTATTTATTTATTTTTTTATCTTGTGTAAATATTCTCTGACTTTTGCTAGAAAGGTGACGATCACAATTACATTTTTATAAATTAATACATTTAAATAGCAAGTAATACTGACAGCAGGGCTCAAAGTAATACATTACAATCATGCTGAGTGATTCTGGTGACATCTGTTAAAGTAAATTGAAAATGAACAGCTTCAGCAGAGAAAAAGTGGCATGTTCAAGGTCACAGAGCTTCATTTCCAGTAATTTTCAGCTATCATTCCAGTCAGCTATCATTTTCAATTAAAACAGGAATGCATTCATTGGCAATCCAACTCTTTTACACATGTGCAGAAGCAACCTTCTGTAGGCTAGATTGGAATTTATTTGGCTAGTTTTATCCTGTCAGCCATAGCCAAGGCATAACTTCGGACAGTGCAGCCAGTGTAGGGGATCAAGGGCCAGAAGGTAGGAGGAGGCCAGCTGAAGTAATTAATGGAAATGAAATAACATAATAAAATAACGAAAATGCATTTTAATAAATGCTCTTGCTGTAGTGTGCATGGCTCTTAACAGCAGTTTTTGTTTTGAGTTCTGTAGGCTTCTACTTCACTGTAATGATTCTCAGTAGACAAGGGTTGTATTGTTTTTATGTACTTATGTAACGGTAGAGTGTAAAATACCTACTCCTTTTTTTTCAACTAATTTACACTTTTACACGAGCTTTACACAAGAAAATTTTCCAGAGTTTACCAAACTTACCATTAAACATGCTACATGATGCATTGTCACCATCCTTACTTATCCTTTGATCATAAAAAAAACCAAACATTTAACTCCCAACCTTTTTGTAGGTAAAATCAAATGCCAGCATTTACACTTACATATTTTGCTCTAACTGCTCTTTGAATTCATGTTCATACAAAATGTAAACATCTTCCAAAAATGTCTAAAACTTACACGTCCTCACAAAGACAGAAGCACAATATACTGATGGGAGTAGGCTTTTCAGATTTCTTTAAAGATCCAAGGAGAGCTTAGTCTTCTTACATCAAGTGGTGGGGGGTGTTTTGTATTGATAAAGGCTTGTAGAGAAGGATGGGAGGAGGGACATGCAACAGAAGGACATAATGGTCACCAGGTAGCCAAAGCTCACGGCTATTAAGTCCAAAACACACTGCTACATTTGCTGTACTCACAAGCAAATCAACCAATTCACATGCCATGTTAACCATCAAAAAAGTTAAGCAGATAAAGTAAAATGTGAAGTATACATTTTTCTTCCTTTCACACAATTCTTCACCAAAGAGCTGATTTCAGTTCTTTTGTTAAAACACTTAAAACACCACAGAAGAAGTGCTAAATGACAAGAGGTAGCCTGGTTGTTTCCATGCTTCATCACCTTAAAATTAAAGTAACTTGTATGAAGCACATAAAATAGTACACATGGCTATCTTGGCATGCATCAGAAAGTGCCAGTCTGTTTTGGGCTCAAGAAAAGAGAAAACCTGAATGGAAAACTGAACATGCGGAAAAGGCACAAACAGAAATCACCAAAGAATATAAGATAACGTTCCAGTATTTACAGCTTCACTAACAGCATATCTTCTTGCCACACAACCTTTAAAGCTATTCTCTGCTGCAAGTATGTTAGTATTAAGATAAACACAAGACTCCAATATGTATGTCTGATATAATGGATCCAAAGTGGATTCAGTTCTCTTTACTGGATTTCTACGACACTGAAGCAATTTAGAAACTATATAATGGACGTTAATAAGAGGCTCTAGCTTAATGACATACTTTCATCAGACATGCACATTTTCAACAAAAAGACTCAAAATCTTTGCAAAAAGCCCCCACATGACCCAACAAACCTGCCAAAACCTGAATCCGCAGTCTTGAAACTAAAGAAGACAATGAGAGAGTGACACAGAAATGCATGAGGATGGGTCGGTCATTCAACTGAACCCGCATTCCTACTATTCATCATTTGAACTTCATTCAGTTAATGATGAAAATAAAAAGGCAGGTATAAGAAATGTTTGAGGTTGGATAAAAGAAAAAAAATTTCAATTCATGGCAAAATAATGGGAAACATGTATTGTTTTTAAATGTATGTTATTTTAAAAATTAGCACTTGTGATTGTTTTTAATATGAGAAAACAAATGATTGTTCACCGGTTTCAAATTCTACTTAGTTTATATTCACCTTTCCTCTAAAAAGCAAAGAAAGAAATTAGTTTAAGACGGATTTAGTCAACTGGTTTCAAATTTATCTTCTGGTTTATTAAATTCTGTTGTGGTCAGATCACATGCCAATGCACTGCAATCGAACTGAGTCAGGCTGCATATAGCGGGGCGTGGCTCAGCTGCAGGGTAGGGGTGGAGTAGTGAGCTCAGGGTGTGGTGTCAAGGGATGGCTGACCCACACAGCTGACCTCCATCTCACTAACTATGCCTCCCCGTTTTCAGTAGCTGCCAGGGGCTGGAGGAGAGCGGTGTGTGCTGAGCTGGAACTCAGCTGAGCAGTGTGAAAACTGCATAACTCAGAGTGGCATTAAACATTGTAAGTAAATATTCAACTGTCGACGCTGTGTGTGTCCGGTCCTTGTGTCACACTGCAAAATGGGCACAACACATCAGATACTCAACTGGTTGTATTTTGTGTGTCATTTTGCTATTAAAATTTCTGTCCTGTAAAGCAGCGGTCCCCAACCTTTTTTGCGCCACGGACCGGTTTATGCCCGAAAATATTTTCATGGACCGGCCTTTAAGGTGTCGCGGATAAATACAACAAAATAAAACTAGTACCGGAAGATTTATTCATAACACACGCGAAAAGACCCAGGAAAACAGAGTTAACGATAAAAACGATAACAAAATAACACTGAAAACCATACATTTCACACCTGAGCCTCAACTCTCGCGGCCCGGTACCGGTCCGAAGCCCGGGGGTTGGGGACCGCTGCTGTAAAGCACCTGACTCAGGATTTGTGGAGGGTTCAAGGTTCTGGCTGGACTGAATATATGTAACTAATGTGAATTTATATGTATGTAGATGGCAACAGAGTTCCAATGGATAGCAACAGATTTATGAATTATCACTATACCCATTTTAAGCAAACCCAACTTCTTTTCCTACCCATACTTTGAGTGATTTCTTCTCCACCTTTGATGCTTTTCAGTTGTGACTGAGTATGAATAATGAAGAAAGCAAGCATTGTGCATGGTATTCCACATATCCATATGTCTTTTTTTTTTATCTTTAAAGCTATTGTTGGAACTACACCACACTGTGGGTAGCTGTTGATATTTACAAATTAAATGTGCATTATTTAAGTTGGATAAAGTTAAAGTTTTGAGAAATATTAGTAAATTGGTCAGTACATTTGAACGTCTAACCAGACTGTGAGATACTGTGTAAAACTGTGTACAGCCAACATTATTTTAACATTTAAATCCTACATATAACAGTGTCATATCATTTATAAACAATTGCTTGCTAGCATAGATTTTGCTTTAAGTGACTGAATATCAATGACTTTCTATGTGTCTTATCATTACTCTGCTGCTAGCTGCTGCCTGTGTAGAAAGCCCTTAACCGGGATACCTTTAATTCTAGGCATCCTGGATTTCAGTTAAAATGCTTCTTACTAAAATATTTATATTTTAGTTTTTTAGTTTTTTTTTTCTTTGAATGGATCTCCAGTTTTTTTATATAAACAAAAAAGTATTTTATTTATTAATTTATTGTTTCATTTATATTGGACATTTAAAATCAAAGTGCTTTACAATAAAAAAATAACATAAAGTAAACAATAAAAAATAGTAATCAGAACAAAATTGCAGGTGAGTTTTAAAGCAAAATATACAGAGCTGAAAAATTCTTTATAAATTTACAATCAAATATAAATAAATATTCTTTCCATCTTGAATGTCTCCCGACATCAAGGTGTAATAAAAAAAATCTGAAAAAATAAAATTCAGAAGACAGCATAATCCTGACAAAGTTTTCATGCGATAGTCAAGCAAGATGCATATTAAAGTTCAGGAATTATATAGCAAGCTCTCATTGAATGCTTCCAATAGGCATTCTACAAATATTCACCTAAAATGACTTATATGGGTTCAAATACTGTAAATTTGAGTTGAAATGCAATTAATTTTGCAATTTTGTATAAAAATTAAATGTCTTAACAGCCATATAATCCCAAGCATGTGATATGTCATGCAAAAACCAGAATGGAACATGTGGGGGAAAAATGTTTTTGGAAGTCAAACCCACATGTAGAAGAGAGGCAAAAGGAAAAGGAACAGACTTTAAGATGAGGAGAGGATGTGGAGCGCCGACAGTTACCAAAGCGACTGTTGGTGCAAAAGAGCAGACCCAGCTGTAGCCACATGTGTCCGTGTGTGTGTGTGTGTGTGTGTGTGTGTACTGTATGCATGTATACTTGGTTCTGACCAGTCA